CCCCCCAATTCACTCTTTTCCTTGAAAAGAGAAAGAAAAACTCTTTAATTGTTATGCAATCCTCTCCAAAGTCCACTCCACTATCAGCCTTCACTCTGAACTTCTGAAATGTCAAGAATACCCATTCATATATCCCTTTGAAACAGTTTTCTCCCTCATCTGCTTCAATGCAATATACATCATTCCTCCTCTCTTTCTGTCTTCCCTCAACCCAGATGCCACTGAGATATTTCACTCAACATAATGTCCTCCAGGGTACACCCATTTTACATAATATTTCATGAGTTCATTGTTTTTCAGTGCTGCATAGTATTCCATTGTGTGAATATACCAGTGCTTCTCTATCCATTTGTTTGTTGATAGGCACTTAGGTTGTTTCCAGCTCTTTGCTATTGCAAACAAAGCCACAATAAACATGGGTGTGCATATATCTGCTTGGGTGGCAGTTATGGTCTCTTTAGGGTAAATTCCCAGTAGTGGAATTGCTGGGTCAAATGGTATTTCTATTGGCTGGCATCCAATAATTTCAACAGAATATAACCAAGAAGAGATGGCACTGAAGGAAGAAGTTCAAGCTGCACTGAATGCATTTGTGAAAATGATATTTCAGAAATTGACAGGATACCAATTGAGTTGTATTAACAAACGGGAGAAGCCCTGGACGTGTTCACTCATCTGTGTGAAGAAATTTGAAAAATAACTTGAAAAATAACTACAGAGCCAACCAAGGGGACCTATCCACTGCCATCAAGTCAATTCTGACTCATAGATACTCTTCACCGGCTTTCCAAGGATATAAATCTTTACAGGAAGAGACCACCCATATCTTGTCCATTGAGTAGTTGCTGAATTCAACCTGCCAATCTTTCAACTAGTAGCTTAATATATTATGCACTGCATCATGAGAGCTCCTTAACCAACTAGAGGAGATCCATATTTGTATCCATCTCAATGAAAGATGAGTCAGTAGAGTGTGGAAATTATAGAATAATATATGTAACTAAATTTTGCTGAAGATCATTTTAAAACAGTGGCAGCATCAAAAGAGAAGTGCCAAAAAAGCAGGCTGAATTCTGAAATCATCACGCTGGAACTGACACACCAGCTGGCCCTCCAGTGAGTTTTCAAGGCTGTAAATGACATGGGATGAGATTGCCTATGTTTCTCCCTAGGAAGTACAGGTGGGTTTGAACCACCAGGAAGGCATGGCCTTTGAGTTTGCAGCACAACTCTCTATGGATTACCACCTTAGAGCTTTCTACAGATGTCAACAGAGGCTGTCACTCCTTCCAAAGAGTAGAATCAGGGCTTCCAGATGAGCCAAGGACTCAAACATTATCAGGTTAGGACAATTTCTGCTCATGAGGAATCACTGTACCAGAAAGAGGTGATTGACATGGAAAAATTTCAGAAAGTACCGTTTGAACAAACACCAATGATAATGGAGAAAGTTCAAGCTGCACAGAAGGCATTGGTAAAAAATAAGGTCTCAGGAATCAAAGGGATATCAAATGAGTTTCTACTAACAGATGCAGTCCTAGATGTACCCACATTCTATGCCAGGAAATTTGGATGACAGTTACCTGATCAACTGAATGGAAAAGATGTACACTTGTTCCCATTCCCAGAAGGGTGATCCAAAAATGTGGATTCCCCGGCATAGTTACAGCTGGGCCGCAGCTAAGATCAGAGACCAGACAGGACTGAGTACCCTCTGCAAACGGAATTCCACCCAGGCCCCTGGAGGAGATACTGGTTGCCCTCTGCCAACAGAGAATTCTGCTCAGCCTCCTACCAGAGGGGACGCCGTGTCTGAACTTTGGTCTTAGTTTCAAGATTAAGCTTGCCCCTTGCTATGTTGGCAACGCTTAAGTAAAGGGAAATACAGTCTCCAGAGATTGAACTGTTTTAGGAGGATTGGTTTAAACTAAGTAAAAACCATAGGGAGACTAAGAAAGGGGCTTTTTCACACTGCTAAGCTGTGATGTGAGAGGACCTCGGCCTCAGCCTTCCCTTTTGTTCAGAATTCATTTTCCCGTGTCCCTGCTTTCTTTCTGTGTCTAGTTTGTAACACAAAAGAATGTGAAAATTGTCTAATAATATTATTAATATAACATGCAAGCAAAATGTTGCTGGAGATCATAAAAAAAATGCTCAAAGAGTACATTTCAAGAAAATGGTCAAAAGTTCAAGCTGGGTTTAGAAGAGGCTGTGGCACCAGGGATATCACTGGTGATGCCAGATGGATCCTCCTAAAAGCTGAGAATACCAAAAGAATGTCTAGTTGTGTTTTATTAACTATGCAAAAACAGAGAGCCCCGGAGTCAAAGCCGGTTCCTGTCTCTTCCTCGCCCGCTCCCTGCCACCTCTTCCTTTTTCAAAATGACAGATGCCGCTGTGTCCTTCGCCAAGGACTTCCTAGCAGGTGGAGTGGCAGCAGCTATCTCCAAGACCGCAGTAGCGCCCATCGAGCGGGTCAAGCTGCTGCTTCAGGTGCAGCATGCCAGCAAGCAAATCACCGCAGACAAGCAGTACAAGGGCATTATCGACTGCGTGGTTCGTATCCCCAAGGAGCAGGGATTTCTGTCCTTTTGGCGCGGTAACCTGGCCAATGTCATCCGATACTTCCCCACCCAGGCTCTCAACTTTGCCTTCAAAGATAAATACAAGCAAATCTTCCTGGGTGGTGTGGACAAGAGGACCCAGTTCTGGCGCTACTTTGCCGGGAATCTGGCATCCGGCGGGGCTGCCGGGGCCACATCCCTCTGCTTTGTCTACCCTCTCGATTTTGCCCGTACCCGCCTGGCAGCTGATGTGGGGAAAGCAGGAGCAGAAAGGGAGTTCAAAGGCCTCGGTGACTGCCTGGTTAAGATCTCCAAATCTGACGGGATTAGGGGCCTGTATCAAGGCTTTAACGTGTCTGTGCAGGGTATTATCATCTACCGAGCTGCCTACTTCGGTATCTATGACACTGCAAAGGGAATGCTTCCAGATCCCAAGAACACTCACATCATCATTAGCTGGATGATTGCTCAGTCTGTCACAGCCGTGGCTGGCTTGACTTCTTACCCATTTGACACCGTTCGTCGTCGCATGATGATGCAGTCAGGGCGCAAAGGAACTGATATCATGTACATAGGCACAGTGGACTGCTGGAGGAAGATTGCTCGAGATGAAGGAGGCAAAGCTTTTTTCAAGGGCGCCTGGTCCAATGTGCTCAGAGGCATGGGTGGTGCCTTTGTGCTTGTCTTATACGATGAGATCAAGAAGTACACATAAGTTATTTCCTAGTTTCTTCCTGTGAATGGGCATGTTATATAACATATCTTGAGCATTCTTGACAGACTGCTGGCTGTCTTGTATCAGTGGCAACTACTGACTGGTTGAAAATGGGAAGCAATAATATTCACCTGACCAGTTTTAAAGCCATTTCCATGACGATGATGATGGGACTCAATTATATTTTTTATTTCAGTCACTTCTGATAAATAAAAAAATTTGAAGAAATAAAACTAAAAAAAAAAAACTATGCAAAAACATTTGTCTGTGTAAATCATAACAATTTGTGGCTAACATAGAGAAGAATAGGTATCCCAAGAACACACACTTAACTGTGCTCATACAAAACCTATACTTAGACCAAGAAGCTGTTGTCCAAACAGAGCAAGGAAGTACTATATGGTTTAAAATTAAGAAAGGTGTGTGTCAGAGCATATCCTTTCTCCATACCTATTTGATCTGTATGCTGAACAAATCATTCAAAAGCTGAATCCTGTGGTTGGTTTGAGTTTGTTCACAACTCTGTGTGAGTTGATTGGATTGGATGGATTTGGCTAGCAATGAGCTGTAGGCCAGAAGCCTCTTGTTAGAGCCAATGAGAGCCAGGTGTGAGGTCTGAGGTTTTATTGAAATTCATTTGGGCCTGAGGCCTTGTGTTAACTGTTTTGAAATGAACATTCTCCTAAGTGGTACAGCACTTCTCTGTCAGTTTGCTATATTGTGGTAACTTGGGATTGCTGTGAAACTGAATGGTGTGCCATTGGTGTGTCAAATGCCATAATGGTTAGACATGGTTGACAGTGTTTGGTGGAGCTCACAGAGTAAGACAGGCTTGAAAGCAGGAGTGGCATTCACTTCCTAAACAATATACCTCTGGAAACTCTATGAACATAGAGAAAGGACACCCGTTATAGAACAGGGTTAAGGTCTTTTGTTCATTGAGTAGCTATGAGTCATGCTTGACTTGACAGCACTTAACAACAACAACAACATGGAGAAAAATAAGACATCAGGATCAAAGGAAGAATTATCAACAATTTGTATCATGCACATGGCACAACCTTATACAGAAAGTAAAAAGGACTTGAAACACTTGCTGCCGAAGATTAAAGACTATAGTCTTCAATATGGATTGCATATCAACATCAAGAAGATAAAAATCATAAAAAATAAAAATAAAATAAAAAAAGAAGATAAAAATCCTTACCATTGAAGAGCAACATCATGACAGATGGAGAAAAGCTTCAAACTTCATCTAACATGGTCTACAATCAAAGCCCTTGATACCAGTAATCAGATCATGAGATGTATTGTATTGGGCAAGTCTTCTGTCGTGGATGGACCTCTCCAAATTCCTGAGAAGCAATGATGTCAATTTGAAATCTAAGGTGCCCTTGATTCAGGCCATAGTCTTTTTAATCACTTGCTATACATATGAGAGCTGAACAATGAATAAGGATGACAGAAGATGAATTGATGCCTGTAGGCTGCAGTGTTGGAGAGGAATATTAAATATCCCATGGACTGCCAAAAGAACAAGCAGATATATCTTAGAAAAAGTGCAGCCACAGTGCTCCTTAAAAGGCAAGGACAGAGAAACTTTGTCTTACATGCTTTTGGCATATTACTAGGAGGGGCTAATCCTTAGAGAGGGGGGCATCAGAGTTGGAAAGCTGGAGGGTCAGCAAAAGAGAGAAAGACCCTCAGTGAGATGAAATGGCACAATAATGCAACAATGGGCTAACGTGTGCCAGAGATGATGATGACGGCACAGCATCGGACAGGGTTCAAATCTGTTGTTCACTGGGTCTCTGAGTTGTGTAGGACTCAATGACACCCAACAACAATAATAAACCCATGTTAAATGTATGTTTACAACTCCTATTCTCACCAAACTCTGGTGACCTAGTGGTTAGGAGTTGCACTGTCAACTTGAAGTCACACAGTGCTAATTCACCAGCTGCTCCACAAGAGACAAATGGGCGGTCTCTTCCCATGGGATTTACTGCCTCTGAAAACACACTACAGGAGCAACGATGAGTCACTCAACGATGAAGCAATTCCAACTTAATGGTACATAACAATTCTATACTTAGGGAGCTTTGGTAGTTTAATGGTCAAGAGTTATACTATCATCCCCAAATGCACACAGTTCAAATCCACCAGCTTCCTCATGGGAGAAATAGGAATAGTCTTTTTCCATGCAATTAATTGCCTCTGAAAACCCACTAGAGGAAAACCCAACTAGGAGTTGATTCTGACTCAGCAGTGCACAACAACAACAGCTCAATGCTTAGATGATATGGAGTGTAAAAATAATTTGTAGTTTATAGATTCCCAAGCTATGAGAAGCCACATCCAGACTGGCCGGAAAGAACTGAGAAATACATGTGAACTTGTATTTTTAGTTAGATGGAGTAATTCTGTAAGATTTTGGGGTTATGCTTCCTAAAAGTGAGTTGAGGATATTATATGTGTGTAAAAAATGTTCTGTGTATTCACACGTATTTGGTTAAACAAAAGAACAAATGAACAGAAACTGTCAGTATTCACATCCTTGTTTCCTCTTTCAAAATTAAACCTCCAGTTCTTCGCTGAGCATTTTTAAAATATTCTCATTGCCATCACTTTGGAACAGACTTATAACTGACCTTCCATTGACTATCTGAGGCTATAAATCACACAGGAAATACCATCAGAGAAATGCAACATTTTTTAGTTAACAGCACAATCCCCCACTAACGATACCCCCAGAACTGAGCATATAACTACTCAGAACAACAACAGCAAAATCACATTTTCTAGCTTCTCTTGATGCTAGATATAACCGTATACCTACATTCAGGCGAATGGAAAGTAGGGAGAGGTGATATGTAAAAGTTTCTGGTTATTTCCTTAAGTTAGTGGGGAATGCCTCTTGCTTACCCACGCTCCACGTTCACCGGCTGGACTATTGCTTTTATGGCAAATCTTCTCAGCAAATGCACTAGCATGGGCGGAGCAATGATACAGTAGGAATGTGGGCCCCTGAGATGTTAGTACTGCTAAACCGCCTGTAGACTGGTGGTGCATTTAATGCATTTGACTGCTAGCCAAAAGGTTAGAAGTTAAAATCCACCCAGAGACTCTTCAGAATAAAATGATGATCTATTCTAAAAGAGTATCAGCCACTGAAAACTCTGTTGAAGACAACTCTACCCTGATATGTGTGAGCTTGCAATGAATTAGAATTGATTCATCAGCAACTCATTTACAGCTTTCCTTAGCTAAAGAAGAAATCCATTTACTTTGCTTCAATTATTACTTTGATCTCTGTTGAAGCAGCCAAATCTTTATCTAATAAATTCTGTGATAAGAAAGTGTTCTGTTTTGGCTGAATTTTTAACCAAATTATCTACTGAGACTGTTAGTGCTAATGTTAATTCATATTAACAAATATAAGATTAACAGATATCACAAAATAAAAACTATTAATCTCGAGTGTCTGAAATTTGAGTAACACAGTCCATCACCCAAAGCGGTTACTGTTTACCATCTTCTCTGTGGCAAGAAGCTGCGCTGCAATCCTGAAGGCAGTTTGAGGTCACCAGCTGCTCTGAGGGCGGAGGATTGGCAATCTCCTGCCATGCTGCCTCTGAACACCCTCACCCCACCCCCAAGGGTCAGCTATGGGTTGGTTCTGACTCTACAGTGCATAACAACAACATGATTGGAAACAAGGAGCTCTAGCAGCTTAGTAGTACGGTATTGAGCTGCCAAACTGAAGGCATGTGGTTCAAATCCACCAGCTGCTCCATGAAAGAAAGATGGGTAATTTCACGTGCTTTCCTGCCTCTGAAAACCCACTGGAGGGTCAGCTGTTGGTGACAACTCAATGGCACATAACAGCAACATGAATGGAGGCAGGACCAGGAATTGCAGTAAAGAAAATCAGGCCCCAATAACAGACAAAGTTGACACAAAATGAAAAAGTCTAAAATTACGACAAAAAAGTGTAAATCTTACTTTGCCAAAGAAGACATTCAGATGGTAAACAAACACATGAAGAAATGTTCCAAATCCCTAGCTCTAAGAGAGATGCAACTCAAAACAACTAGGAGATATCATCTCATCCCAGTAAGAATAGCAAAGTTTAAAAGAACAGCAAACATCAAATGCTGGCGAGGTTGTGGAGAAACTGGAACTCTTATTCACTGTTGGTAGGAGTACAAAATGGTGCAACCACTATGGAAGACAGTATGGCGCTTTCTCAAAAAGTTGCAAATAGAAATACCATTTGACCCAGCAATTCCACTACTGGGAATTTACCCTAAAGAGACCATAACTACCAGCCAAGCATATATATGCACACCCATGTTTATTGCGTCTTTGTTCGCAATAGCAAAGACTTGGAAACAACCTAACTGTCCATCAACAAACAAATAGAGAAGCTATGGTATATTCACACAATGGAATACTGTGCAGCATTGAAAAACAAGGAACTCATGAAATATTATGCAAAATGGGCAACCCTGGAGAACATTATGTTGAGTGAAATATCTCAGTCACAAAAGGACAAATACTGCATAAGGCCACTGTTGTAAAACAGGACTGACATCAGGATTGAGGAGAGACAGAAAAGGATGGAAGAATGATGTATATTGCATTGAAACAGATGAGGGAGAGAACTGTTTCAAAGGGACATATGAATGGGTATTCTTGTAATTACAGAAGTCCAGAGTGAAGGCTTCATAGTGGAGTGGACTTTGGGGAGGGATTGCATAACAATGAAAGAGTTTTTTTTTTTCTTTTCAAAGAGAAGAGTGAATTGGGGTGGGGGGAACGGGTAGGAAGAAAATTGCAGCAATAAATGACTGGAAACCCTAAGTCTCTGTAAACTTTCATTAAAATTAATAAGAAAAAAACCCCACCTTAACAGCATCTTTTGTGGAGCTACTGGCTGATTTAAATCATCAGAGATGCATGGTCTTGTTATCTTTTGTTAAGCGGTGCAATACACAGTGTTATCAGAAAGAAGATTTTTAAAAAAATATTTTCTCAAACTCACAATAAATTATCTGCCAAATGTGAAATAGTGAAACTGAAGAAAATTTCAAACATGTTCAGAGCAACAAATAGGGTTTTTATGCTTACTTGTTTTGTTACTTGTTAGCTTGTGCATGTGTTTCTTTTTTTGATGTGTGAATGTGTTTCTTAATGATGGAGGATATATTGAAATAATCTTCGTTGATTTTAGCACTTTGAATCTTGAATAAATTAGACAAATTGAAAGTTAAAAGAAAAGAAGTTCAAATCTTGATAAGATGCTAGATCTATAATATTTTATTGGACCAATGCTGTGTATCCTTTTGTAAATGTGTATTTTCAACTTTCTTCTAATAACCTCTTGGACTTGCTGTCCTGTATCTCTATTCTGCCCCTCCCTCCTACCCAAATGTCATAAGACTTCCACCCACCTTCAAAGCTCAAAGAAATCCCCGTCTTGGGTAAGAAAATCTTTCATCATGATGTGTAAGAATCAGGGAATGGAATTATCCTGTATGACTAAGCAATAATCCTCTCCGTTTCTACAGTGCAGATTTTTTTAAGTGATAAAATCATATTCAAATCCATTGTCTGTTATCTTCTTTTCCATCACGCTTTGTACAGCTGTCCGTGACCTCAACCTACCAACGTCATGTTAAAAAAAAATAGAACACACCCATTGCTTCTCGTAACCTCCTAGCCCCGAAATGCCACCTCCCACAAGCAAAGGAACCTCTCACTGACTTTAGGAGCCAATGAAAGAGAAGCAAAGCTTAGACAGTTCCAGGACCAGGGACACGCCTTTTTCTCTCAGAACCGGAAACTAAATTCTAAAAGATAAGCAGACCTCAAAGGAGACAGAAAGCAACAGCAACGTCTCCATCATCCTCACATCTGAACTCCCCTCATTGCAACTACTCTTGCAATCAGTAAGTATTTGTGCTCATACACTTGGTCATAGGGAGCTCTGGTGGCCCAGCGGGTGCGGAGTTGGGCTGCCAACCCAAAGGCAGGTGGTTTGAATCCACCAGCCACCCTGTAAGAAAAAGACAGGGGCAATCTCCTCCTGCGTGATCTATATAGCCTTTGCAAACCTGCTAGAGGATCACGTAGGAGTTGGTTCCAACTCGAAGGCGATGAGTTCAGTTGACGCTTTGGCTTCTCTATTGATTTTATTCATAAAGAATATGTTTGCCTTCTGAATTAATCGTCAACACTACCGTCTTAAAAATGTCTCTCTGAGGCAAACAACCACCTCCTGCATTTTCCCCAATTTATCTAGGTGGTTCCCTGTCTGAGCCAAATGCTAGGCCGGCTTCCACACTTCTCTTTGGTCTGGTGTTCCAGACTGGGATCTGGAGCCTGCTATAAACCAAAGCGAACATTTGCTGCTGTCCGGGCCATCAAATCCTCTAATCCAAGATCCTTCGGCCAAGCAGTTCCCCAGTACTTTAATTTTGCAAAGGACGTGCTGGACCAATGGTCTCAACTGGAAAAGGTAAAACTTGTTGTTTTCTAACTTTGAAATATTGACCCAACAGTCCAATTTATGACCAAAGATAATGAGATTCATAACTCATGTATGCCTGGCACTATAGAAAGGGCAAGCGTGAATGAGAGGCATTTATTACGTGAGTTACAAAGAACTCAGTCAGATAGATCTGTGCTCAGGTCCTGGTTGTGACTCACTAGCCAGGTGATGGAGAGCCAGTCACTAGGTTGGCTAGTTTCATTTCTCTGTTGGTCAAAAGAAGACACTGGCAGAGCCTATTTCCTCAGGCTGTTGAGATGAAATGAGATTCTGGATGAAAAGACAAAGAAAGACTTGGCACTTCGTAAGCACATAATAAAAACTGGTTTTCTCGCTAATAATATTATTGCAGTTTTGATTTGTTTCTGATCAACAATTTATTTTGAGAATCTTCTAGCACATACAACATTTAAGAGGCCAATCACAGAAGGAGCTTACAGCGAAATGTTTCTTGGTCTTTATTACAAAGTGCTGTGAAATAGCAGATGAGGCAGATTTCAGGAAATAAATCTGTATCTGGTTCCTAGAGAATGGTTAGGATTTCAACTGAGAGAGGAATCAGGGGAGAAGCAGCTGTATTTGTGGAGGCATGCAGTCAAGAAGCATGAAAGTGTGGAGAGGTAGTTTGGGCACAGAGCTGCATAAAGATAAGTGAATTATGGGGAGAAACTGGCAGGAATGAGTCAAATTTAGCTGAAGGTCAAAGCAAGGAGTCTGGAGCCAGTCTGATTGGTTATAAGGAAACATTGGATGTTTTTGCTTTGTTTTGAATATATTTTTACTTCAGTAAGACATTTTCATAGATACATATATTCATAGATATGTGTATTTCTTCTATTCTAAATCAGGACATTCTCATTTCTGTTGTGTGGCATTTGCTTTTTGCTTTTTTATAGATTTCATATAAATTTAACTTCTAGAAATAGATTTTAGTTTATTTTTATATTTTAGCTTTGAATAATATTTTGTTTTCAAAAGTTAAAATACTGTCATTCTGTTGACTATTTCTATATGGTTGAATATTATTAGCATTACTTTAGTAAGTTTTGCTTACATTTGCAAACTACAAAAGAAACTGTATTTATATACTCTCCTATGACTTCTATCTTCATTTTTTTCCGTAAGATATTAAGTCATATTTTTTTGAGTGATGTTTGTGAGAACTGCTCCTTGGGTCACTAGAAATATGCAAGGGTGGTTTAAAAAGAAAATTCTTCCCAGAGCCACAAGAATTAAGTGTTGTCTCTAAGGTTTTCATCTTTTTTAAATTATTTTTTATTATTTTTATGTGTGTGTGTACCGTCGAATCAGATCTGACTGATACAGGAGGAGATTGGGTTTTCATCTTTTAACAGCTCAAATGGCAAGCATTACAAAAAGCATAAATTTGTTTTAAAGATGCATTAATAATAAAGGCTATGCATACAGTTGTAGATCCCTCAAAATACAATTTGCAAACAGAAAACTGGCTAAGGTGACATTTTTATTTCTGTTTGTCAAGTTGGGGAAATGGTTGGGGAGTCTGTCCACCATCACCACCAATGCTGTAATGAGAGGTTACAGGCAGAAATGGGTTAAAATTCTGGATTATTCCAAGCAGGGTGAAGAGAAGAGAGATAAGAGCAGGAGATGGAGGGAGAAAGAAAGGAAGTTAGGAAAGAAAAGAAGGAAGGCAGAAGGGACATGAAGAAGAGAGGCACAAAAGAGGTAGGATATAAAGGAGAGAAGGAGGAAGAGGGAATGAAGCTATGATGTAGGCAGGAGGAAGGAGAGACGGCAAAGGAGAGAAATATCTGTTGTCTGTTGTGGAGAAGAAGGTTCAATCCAAGTAGAGGTGCTATGAAATAGTTTCTAGGTACCTATGTCTGTGCCTTTACTAAACCCTATTAATAACCAAATTCTTTCTCCCCAAAATTGTGTCACATGATAAACATAACCAATGGGGGGAGGGGGAGTATAAGACATATACACAAAAGAAGATGTGTCACTGAAAAGGCACTCTCATTGGTGAAGGAGGACAAGGAGGAAAAAATGTCCTGAGAAGCCTTTGGTATGTGTGGCCAGGGCTTCCTTTATCACCCCAAATGTTGACTTATTTCATGAGGTTCTTCCTGAGGACCCAGGCTGACACGCAACATGAATGCACCAGGACTGTCATAGCAGCTATTGAATTTTAAAGTAGTTGCACATCAGCTCAGGAAGGGTCACTGCCCCAAAATCACAGGCATCCTGGCTCTCCACAAGGTCTAGCCACTGGAGAATGGTGATTGATAAGTAGGGGTCTGGGGAACTGGTATCCATGCTGACCAGTGTTAACTAGTGTTAACTATCTTGAACACCACCTGCTTAGGATGGACTTGGGGGACCTTATCCAGCCCTCTGGGAAATCAATGCCAAAGGAGTGGAGGAAAAATGGAGTTTTGAAAGGATGGCTCATTTCTCCCAGAAGGCAGCCAGCATTCTTTCGGATATCTGCGCCCTTAACCATGGAGATCGATTGATGATATTCCTGCCCCCAGCACCTGAAACCTATTGGATCTACCTGGCCTGTATGCGATTGGGTAAGGTGCTGGACAGAGAACGCCAGGTTGGGACTTGCATGGAAAACCAACTTAATCTCAATCACACTGGCAGAGATGTTAAAAAGATGTCTATATAATCCTTGCATTCTTTTATTTATTTATTGGTTTTTGTTTTTCCAGACAGCTTTATTTCACCCTTATGCCATGAATTTATAGGGAACAGGTTCCAGCAGCTTGGGCTCCTTCCTTTTCATTCTCACAGTATCCTCCCTGAGGAAGGGGGCGGCCACTTCATCTGGACCCAAGTGCCTTTCGCCTTGGCTTCCTTCTTTTTCTGATCATTTTCCTTCACACATTTCAGGAAGCTGTCTCTGTTCTTAGAGTGCTTAATACATTCAATGTGCATGTTAACTCTCTTGGCAAGAATCTTGCTCTTACCTTGGTTGTTCACAACAATGCCAACAGCATGCTGACAGTATAGTCTCTTCCAGTTTTGCCATGTCAGCATTTGTGAGGCATTCCTTTTTGAACAGTGTCCATTCCCTTCATGTCTACAATATCTCCTTTCTTGTAGATTCTCATATAAGTGGCCAAAGGAACAACTGCATGTTTCCTAAAGGGCCAAGAGAACATATAGAAGGTGCCCCTCCCTTTCTCTTTGTGGTCATCATTTTGACAATTCACTGCAAGATGCTGGTTCCCAATCCTTGCATTCTTCACTCTAAGTGGAATTTTTTAACAGGCTTAGATGTGAATTCACAATCCACTATTTAGGATTGAGAAATTGTGGTACATTCGAATGATGGAATACTATGCAGCACCAAGGAATGTGTTTGTTCTCCTGTCAGTCCATGGTATGTTCAACACTCTTTTCCAGCACCATAACTCAAAGGTATTAATTCTTAGTCTATCGTTCTCAGTCATTGTCAGGTCTACAATGCATAGTAAGTTATTATGAAGACCATGGCCTGGTTCAGGTGCACCTTAGTCTCCAGACTGACATTGTTGCTTTTCCATACTCTAAAGAGGTCCATGGCAGTAGACTTTCCCAATACAATTCATCTTTTTTTCCCCCTGTGGTTTTTGCCTTCTTTTTCTTTTTTCTTTTTCATAATTTTGTTTTGTT